TATATATATATATATATATATATATATATATAAATAAAAGGAGGGGTCTGTTTACTCCAAGAGTAAATCTACCTAAATTTATTCCATTCAATAACTCATGCTCTATATCAAATCTTAACAATCCAATCATTAAATTTAAAGTTTTTAATATATAGATCAAATATATAAATTTTTTAAAAATTTAAAAATCATTTGATATTTCATTTCATTAATTCAAATTGATGGATAATCATAAAAACATGTTACCCGTCAATCTAAATTAATGAAACGAAGTATCAAATAATTTTTAAATTTTTAAAAAATTTACAAATTTGATTTATGCATTAAAAACTTTAAATTCAACGGTTGGATCGTTCAGATTTGATATAAAGCATGTGTTATTAAACAAAATAAGTTTAGGTAAAGTTATTCTTAGAATAAATGAATCTCTCTCTCTCTCTCTATATATATATATATATATATATAATATTTGTTATTGATACCCTTTTCTCCCATTTTATTTTTAATTTTGATTAAAATATTTTTAGTTCATATATGTTTCATTATTTTATTTTTATTGTTTATAGTTTAAAATAAATGTTTAGTCAATTTAAATTTTTAATATTTTTAAAATTTTTATAGTTTTAGATAAAATATTTTAGTCGATACTTGAAATTTTTTTAATTCTTTTAATCTCTATTGTTAAACTTTTTTGTAACGTTGTCTATTTTATATCAATGTGATAGAGATATTATTTTAACTTTATATGTATAATATCAAATTCATTTTATTATATTTACTTTAAATGAGGTCTCAACACTTTTTTATTTTATATCCACACCTACAAAACTCATAATTTTAAGTTCATTTTATTACTCTCACAAAATTAACATTTTTTATTATGTGAATATAAAACAAAAAACGTTACAAAAAAATTAATGATAAGACTAATATTTTTATTAAAAAAAAAAAAAACTATGTCTGAAAAGAATAATCTTAAACTATAATAAAAATAAAAAAATTGAAAAATAAATAAATATAACAACTAAAAATATTTATTTTAAATTATATATACTAAACTATAAACTGATAAGATTAATGAAATTACATATACTAAAAAAATATTTTAATCTTTAATTTATTTCCTTTTCTTTTCTTTTTTTTTTCTATCCTTCTTTTTTTTTTTGGACAATTCCTTTCCTATCCACCTGAAATAAACTAAATTATTTTTCTTGCATATATAAATGACCCTTGACTAATCTCAAACCAAACCTGAAATAAACTCTAAACTCAATACCTTCAAAAAAAAAAAATTTCCTTTTTCCATTATTTTATCTCGACAAATCCTTTGGGTTCACCCATGCATTATTTTTCTTGCATGTACAAATGACCCTTGACTAAATCAGAAACAAACCTGAACTAAAAACCCTTCCCTCACCAGTCGCCACCTCTTCCACTTCCCAATGGCACCCAAACCTCACTACACCCCCAACCACATCCCCGACCCATCCTACATCCGCATCCTGGACACCACCCTCCGCGACGGCGAGCAGTCTCCGGGAGCCCCCATGCCCGCCGCCGAGAAACTGGCCATCGCGCGGCAGCTAGCGGCCCTGGGCGTGGACGTGATCCAGCCAGGGTTCCCCTCCGCCTCGAGCGACGACTTCAACGCCGTGAAGGCGATAGCGCAAGAGGTGGGCAACGCCGTGGACGGGGACGGGCACGTGCCGGTCATCGCGGGGTTCTGCAGGTGCGTGGAGAAGGACATTGCGGTGGCGTGGGACGCTGTGAAGTACGCCAAGTGGCCTAGGCTTTGCACTTCCATTGCCACCAGCCCCATCCACATGGAGCATAAGCTGAGGAAGAGTAAGGAGCAGGTGATCAAGATTGCTAGGGATATGGTTACCTTTGCAAGGAGCTTGGGTTGTGTTGATGTTCAGTTTGGTGCTGAAGATGCTGCCAGGTTCTCTTCTGTTTCCTTTTCTTAGCTTCTTTCAACGTAATGATTGCATTATTGTTTGGTTACTTTTTATTCTAATATACGGATATATAAATACTATATTTTAATGTATAAATTATATTTAAAATATGAATCAATTAAATTTTTAAATGTATTTTAAGATAAATAATTTATATTTCAATAAAAAATTTATTTATTGATAATTTGTTTTAAAATATTAAATTTTCATTTATATTTAAATACGATAAATAAAAAATAAATTACATAATGAGTTAAAAATATTTCTAAGAATAATTTTATGGAAGAATAATTTCAAAAAACATTATGCAAATATTTATTCACATTTATCCCAAAAATAATTTTTTCACTTTTATTAATTTTTATCATATTTTTTTAATAAAAGATTAAAATTGTCATAAATAATATATATATATATATATATATATATATATATATATCAATATATATATTATAATTAAACTTTTTTAACTAAATATTGATATATATATATATATCAATATTTAGATAAATTAGATATTTTTAATTAAAACACCATAGATATTTATTTATATTTTGAAAGGTATATTATCTTATATAAAAATTAAATTTATTTAATGAAATATCATATAATTTTAAAATATATATTTGATGTATTTAAAAAAAAATCAATTTAATGATTATATTATTAAATTTGTGTTCATGAAATTATTGAATAAAATAGAATTAATCTTGAATAAGTTTCATCTGCACCCATTTTTTTCCTTAATATCTATACATCTATACATATTAAAAAAGGAATATAGATGGTGTAATTGTTTTTTACCTCCACTTTTAGTAGATCATTATATCTCTAAAAAAATTCTTATTTTTATGAATAATTATCCATAACTATTAGACATGAAATACCTCTTGATGGAAAATCTTATGGAGAGACTAGATTGATGTAGTTCCTCTTCCAAGTTCTTTGAATGGATATTTTCCTTCTTAGTCTCTTCCTAACTTTTTCAATGGCTTCCAAAGGTATTAGAAGTCATCTTCAAACACAAATTAAAAGGTAAAGATCTCCCTTGAAGATGTCACACTCACCTCCAAATCTTGTCACACTCAAGAGAGGATAAGAGAAATGAAACAAGTTTCAAGGAGAGAAACAAATTTTGAGAGAGAATTAGGAAAAATGCATTTAATTCATTAATACTCAAAGTTAAAGTTTAGCCAATACAAATAAATCCTATATATAGGAGTTTGGTTGCCTTATGATGAAAGTTAAACTAATCATGGTCAATTATAACCATAATTAGTTATCTTGTACTTAAGCTAACCAATCCAAGTTAACTTTCTACAAGTCTAGTTAGTTATCTAGAAGCTTATGGAGTAAATTAGGCTAATTCTAGCTAGTTTAAGAATAACCTACGTTGACTTAAGTTAACTTCAACTACCTAACCTAATTATTATAATTACTAGACTAATGATTACTTTGACTAGTTTGTTGAGATGTCACTATTAATGCTGTGACTTATTTGTCAAGCTTGGATGACTTGTTCATTAAACTTGGATGACTTATTCATTAAGCTTGGACGTCCAAATCACTTGCTTAGGCAAGTGGACGTCCAACCTTAATGAGCTAGGAAAATGTTTGGGACATCCAAGCCCAAATAAGTTTATGGCCTAGGCTAGCTACACTTCTCCTAAACTATTAATTACAACCTTAAAGAAAAACACAAGAACAAAAGTTCCTATACTACTTGACCTAAAATATATGGTCAAAATATCCTATATAATCACTACTAAAATAGTAAAATAACAATAGGAGCCCTTAAGGTGGGATAGACTTTTATCATCCTTCATCTTGATTTTTTTTCTTCCAAAAAGATTCTTGGGAAATAGGTTTCCATCACTTCTTTTTCCTACCTACTTAGTTTAATAAAGTTTATAGTCATAATAGATAAAAGAGAAATAATGATAATATATATATATATATATATATATATATATATCATGTAACATTTGCGTTAAATTGTTCATAACGGTTAGTTATCAATAAATTAATAAATATATTGTTCTTAAAGGTTAAGTTTAGTCAGCATATCCAAGTAATCGATCATTTCTCATTTACGATTCTAAGGGGTTTTTTTTTATTCCTTTTTCAAGATAAATTATAGAATAAATTATACAACCTTCTTCCCATAATGAGAAATTGGAGTAGTATACTATTCTTCCCCTTTTGTTAAAACATGTAATAATGTTAAAATAAATTATTTCTCCTTTCTTTTAATAGATACAAATGTTATACTCTTTTATAAAAAAAAAAATACAGAAGAATAAATTAAAGATTTTTTTTTGGAAGATGTGAATATTACACATTCGTTCTTCTACTATAATAAAGTATATAATTTAATGTATTTAACTTAATATTATAAAAAAATATTTATTATAGAATTTTAAAATGTCATTCACTCACTTGGTAATTTTTTAAAAAATATATACTTAAAGTAAAAGTAATTTACTAAAATAATAATTAAAATAAAATTTATGCGAAAAATTATATATATAAGTATTAAATTAAAAATAATTATATATTTTTTTCAGTAATATATGTTTAATATAAATAGATCTATTTAAAATGTTTGGATAAAAAATAATTTTTTGTTTGACTAATGAGCTACATATATTTGCATTGTATTTATTAAATTTAATAAATATAATAAGTAATACATATAAAAAAATATCAATTTATTTAAATATTTATTAAAAAATAATATTAATAAAATCAATTAAATACTACTTAATACCTTTATATTATATTAAATAAATACAATATGTGATAATTAATATTATATAACAAAACATTAGATTAGGAGAGTTATAAAACATTATATTTAAGATTTTAGAAAATACAAATTAGGTAAATGACGATGGATATATTATATATAGTTAATCATGTTGTTAAATAGGCTATAGAGATAAACATTTACTCTTCTAAAATTGACATAACATATTATATTAAATTAAATATGCAAGGGAAAATTTAATTTTTAGACCGTAAATTTCTTAAATAAATCAATAAATATTAATTTTAAATACTCAAATTTGATTTCATATTTTTAAGGACTAAAATAATACATTTAATGCATACTTCATTAATACTCTCTCTAAACCTATATAAAAAGAAGAAGAAAATCACATAAGTTAAAAGGGTAGTTTAATATATTTAATTATTTAGATTTCATATAAGCATACACTATATATATTTATCGAAATATTTTAATTATATTTATTATAAATAATATTCTCATTTATTTTAATCATGATTTCATAGTCTTATAGGTATTTTAAGATTGTAAATATTAAATAAGTTAATTTAGTTAAAATTTATTTATATTACTTTTTATTTTATATGTATAATTTGAATTATTTATTTTATAATTAAAATAATTTTTTTAAATTTTTTTATGAGTTTACATAGAAAAATGTATTAAAATCCCTCAATTTTAAAAATATATTGAAATCTCTCAATCTTTGAGAGTACCGTAATAACTCCCTTAAATAATTAAGACAAAGATCTTAAATAATTAAGACAAAGATGACACGACGTGGGTCGTGGAGAAGGAATGTTGTCGAAATTGCAGGCATAGGAAGATGACTTGTCGTAGCTGAGGTTGTAAAGTGTTAATGACGTGGCAGTTGAGCTTGACCTTGGGGAGTTGAATATCGCTATAACAAAATCAACTTTTAATGGTATTTAATGTTATTTTTAGTAATAATAAAAAAGATTGCAAAATATTTTATAAATATTTTTACATATCAACAATTATTAACAATTATTCTATATGATAGTAAAGATCTTTATAATGAAAAAGAAAAATGTATAAATTTTTATGAAATTTTTTATTAGTAGTTAATATTTTCTACTATTATCACTAAAAATTTAAGAAATGATTCATAATTTATATAAGATTGTTTTCCATTTATATATTCTTTAATTTTCTTAATTTTAGTTGATGTGAGACTCAAATTTTTAAGAAATGATTCCTAATTTAATTGTTAGGTTGCTCTTTACTTACATACTCTTTAATTATTTTATCTTTAATTTAACACTATTAAGTATAGTAATGATAGGTGATTTGATACTAACTTAAGATAAGGAGTTATGAATTTAATTTAAGCATACAAAATTAATTTGGAAGGTAAAAATTATCATTCAGTTATATACCTTTTTAATTATTTTATCTTTAATTAATATGAAATTTAAGTTTTTTTAATAAATAATTATAGTTAATAGTAAAAATTTTTATAGTGATATAAACCAATTCGATAAAAAAAAAAAAATCTAGAGTGATTAATGTAGATATAATCCATCATGATGAGATTAATTTAATGGATAAAATCTTTACTCCACTCTAGCTTCTATCCATGTATCTATATTTGACAAAACGGGATGATGTATTGCACTTGTTCAATCTACTAAATATTATGATAATTATTCTTTGTTGTAAATATTGACTCATTCATAAGTTTTGAGCTTTTAATTTTGTATTAATAATTCAATTTTTATGTGAGATCAGATCGGATAGAGAGTTTCTGTATGAAATTCTTGGAGTGGTTATTGAGGCCGGGGCAACAACTGTGAACATAGCTGACACTGTAGGCATATTAATGCCGTTCGAGATGGGAAAATTGATTGCTGATATAAAAGCTAATACCCCTGGAATTCAAAATGTTATTATTTCGACCCATTGTCATAATGATCTTGGCCTTGCTACTGCTAATACGATAGAGGTATAGCCATAACTTTACCACTTATTTTGTATTCGGAGGAGATTAAAATCTTTGATTTCAGCTGTTTTTTTTTCTTCAAAAAAATATTAGCAGTAAAAAGTTGTTTGTTTAGTAAAATAACTTAAAATTTTGTAAACAGTTTTTTCTTTTAAAATAAGGTGTTTTTTTTTTTTATGAAATCAGAAAATTTGAAACTTAAAATTATTTTTCAATAAATTTTTTCTTTTAAGTTGATGTATTATATAAAAAATATTTTTTTTATCCATCTTAAAATCACTTTTCAACAAACCTATTTAAGCAAAATTTTATTTTAATTATAATCGATTATAACATTAATCAATTATTGAAAAAAAATCAGATTTTCACAACTTTTTCAATCACACTATAAATCAGATATAATTAAAATATAAACCATCAATCTGACCATTATCCTTTCTCTTAAATATTTTTTGAAATAATGAAATTATATAAGCAGGTTCTAAAATATTGAAAATATATTTATTTAGTTTTATATTGATATATTTTATTAATATTGAAGGAGTAATTTGATGAATTTGTAATACTTAAGGATTATGTAATAAGAATTTTAATGGTTTAGATCCATCTCGTATAATTTCATTAATTTAAAGTAAGAGGGAGAATAATACCTTAAATATTAAAATGGTGGTTTATTCCACAATTAAACTATATTACAATTTTTTTTTATTATTATCTATTCTTAATTACTTTCAGGGTGCACGTGCTGGTGCAAGGCAATTAGAAGTAACAATGAATGGGATTGGTGAAAGGGCTGGTAATGCATGCTTAGAAGAGGTGAGGGTCAATCTCCATCATATACATAATTGTATCATTGTGTGATAGATTATTTTGGCAAATAAGAAGCATGCATTCCTTGGATTTTTTTAAATTTTTTTTTTTCATAACTCTCAATTAGAATTTCACTAATAAAAAAGTGTCATTTTTCTGGGATTTTCCTAAAAAAATATTTACAGAAATTTTTTGCAAATTTTCTTGTAATAATAATTTCACAAAATGTTTTTATGAATTTATTTGTGAAAAATAATTTACAAATATTTTTTACAAACTTTTTTATGAAAAATAATCTACAAGAAATTTTTTCAAATTTTGCTACAATTTAAATTCGCATAGAAATTTTTTTCCATGGTAAAAATTTGCAAAATATATTATAAGAATTTTATTTTGTTTCTTACAGATTTTCTTGCAAAAATAAATTCACAAGTAATATTTACTAAATGGTAGAAAAATTTCGCAGGTAACTTTTCTTGTGGATTTTCTTACCAATTTTAATCCGTAGGAAAAATAAAAAAAATATTTAAATTTATAAGTTTAATATTTTAAAAAAACTTTAAGTCTCGCATCGATTGAAAATAAAACAATTAAAGAGTATATAAGCTGGGGTAACACTTACCTTACAAGTTGATTTGTATGGTTGAGTGTTAGGCTTATAATCTACAATCTTAAAGTTTAAAAGATTATGTATCACATGTTGGAGGTGTGAAAAAAATGTTTTGGATGAATTCATTGTGAGCATTTGAAAGTTGAAGAATTATTGATAGAATTTGTAGTAATTTCTTTGATTTTTTTCATGAAAAATATTTTTGCAGAATTTCTTGCAAAAAAATTCGCAGGAAACTTTCCTGCAATTTTTTTTTGCAGGAAACTTTCCTGCGAATTTTTTCGCAAGAAATTTCGCAGGAAAATTTCTTGTGAATTTTAAAATTCGGAAAAACATATTATCCATACCTGCAGATAAAATTTCGTAGAAAAATTCGTAAGAATAATGTTTGCTGCGAATTTTAATACAAAATTTGCAGGAAAAATCACTACTAGAAAAGTGTTATTTTCTTTTTAATTTTCCTGCAAAAAAATATTCGCAGAAATTTTTTGCGGATTTTCTTGCAAATAAATATTCGCAAAATTTTTTTGCGAATTTTCCTGCAAAAAAATATTCACATAAATTTTTTGCGAACTTATTTGCGAAAAATAATTTACAGATATTTCTTATAAATTTTGCTACAATTTTAATAATCATAGAAATTATTTTCCATGGTAAAAATTTGCAGAAAATATTGTAAGAATTTTATTTTGTTTCTTGCAGATTTTCTTGCAAAAATAAATTCGCAAGTAATATTTACTAAATGGTAGAAAAATTTTGCAGGTAAATTTTCCTGGGAATTTTCCTACAAATTTTAATCCGCAGGAAAAATAAAAAAAAATATTTAAATTTATAAGTTTAATATTTTAAAAAAACTTCAAGTCCCCATCGATTGAAAATAAAACAATTAAAGAGTATATAAGTTGGGGCAACACTTACCTTATAAGTTGATTTGTATGGTTAAGTATTAGGCTTCTAATCTACAATCTTAGAACTTAAAAGATTATGTATCACATGTTGGAGGCATGGAAATAAATGCTTCGGAAGAATTCATTGTGAGCATTTGAAAGTTAAAAAATTATATATATGATTTAGATTAATTTCTTGAATTTTTTTCGTAAAAAATATTCCTGCAAAATTTCTTGCAAAAAAATTTGCAAGAAACTTTCCTGCGAAATGTTTCTTGCAGGAAACTTTTCTGCAAATTTTTTTTTTGCAGGAAACTTTCCTGCGAATTTTTTTCGCAAGAAACTTCGCAAGAAAATTTCCTGCGAATTTTAAAATTCGCAAAAATATATTATCCATGAAGGTATTACCTGCAGATAAAATTTCGCAGAAAAATTTGCAAGAACAACGTTTCCCGTGAATTTTTATGAAAAATTCGCAAGAAATGTCACATGTAATAAGAGAAATTCTAGTAGTGAATCGCATGTAATAAGAGAAATTCTAATAGTGTTTGAAAGAAACTTTTTCCTTGGACCAAATTACTACATGGAAGAATAATATAATCCACCAAATAATAATATATAAAAGATAGAGTAAAATAAATGAAAAATAATGAGAAAAAATGCACGTAAGAACACCAACGCAACAACCTTTAATTTTTTTTATAAGTAAAATCAAATTAATTAAATTATTATGATACTCTAACCCATATATATATTAATACAAGTTACATAAGCATCCTACTGAATTAAATTACTAATCTAAAAATAAGATGGGAGCCCCTACGTATTCAGAACATTAACATAGATAATTATTTTGGGAGGGATACTTGTTGAATAACTAAAGGAATCACAACATTTTAAAATTGAACATGAAAAGTAGGGATGAAAATACATGTAGAAAACAACATCAAAATTTTTGAACACTTCTATAGGTTCAAAATTTTTGAACACTTCTATAGGTTCATCAAAAAATCATTAAGAAAACTGCTACGGCATTCGAATCATATAGACCGATTTATATATCTTCCGAAGCTTAAAAAAAATTGAAAATGTTAAACTAAATTATTATTTTTAATTAAATCAATCTACATATATAAAACTTTCAGTGTTGGGAGGATGTTTCGGTTTGAAACTTTCGAAAGATTTAGCATTTTTCTATCATTAAACATAGGAGTAACGATAAACGATCACTTAAATTTAATTAGATAAGGCAAAAGTCTTAACTTTAATCATCCATGAATCCTTAATCAATTTATAAATAAGTGTTTAGAGTTTTATAATGGTTTTGATTGTATAAATTTATCTAAAAAAATACTTTTAGGAAAATAAAATAAAATAATTTTTTCATAAATTAAAAAGTATTTTATAAGCTAAAAATCACATTTTAGAGAAGTTAATATAAAAGAGTATATACAAATTAATTTAAAAGAGTTAATATAAAAGAATATATACAAATTAAAAAATAATTTGGTAACATATATTTGTTCTAAAATAAATAATTATAAAACACATTTAGTGTAAAAATAAATTTCATTGAATTATTTTATATATACTTAAAAATATTTTTTAACATTTTTAAAATGTGGAAACCTATAGTTATAGGTATTTTATTATCCTTACCTGTCACATTATTAAATATGTATCCACACCAACCCTTACTCCCAGTAGTAGCACAAACCCTTGTGCTTTAATACTCACATTAACGGTTCCATAAGCCTCTTTGAGAGATTCATATTTTCAAGAGTTTAATTTAAAAATATTATGACATGTGTTACGTTAATTTAAATTTGAAACGATGTAAAAACGTTCTTTATATGTCAGTTCTAATTTGAATTTATATAGAAGATTTTTTTTAACATTATATGTTTTGGAATTGATATAAAAAATTACTTTAAATTACAAAAAAAAAAAAAAAGGAATGTCATCGTACCACGTTTTATGTTAATTGTATAATAATAGATGCAGAAAGTGATAATGTAAAATAATTTTTTTACACTAGTATTAAGTAAAATTAAGCAAGTACTCTAATCTTATAATACTAGAAAGTAGAAACTAATTTAATTCATTTGACACCGATAATTAGATTCTAAGTCTATCCAATATAGAAAGACTATGAAAAACGATATTTGTCCACTAGTATTAGGATAAAGTTAAGCAAATACTCTAATCTTAATGCTAGAAAGTAGAAACCGAATTCATTTGGCATCACAATTAGGTTCAAAAACTTAAGAAGATGTAAAACGACATTTTTATATTAGTATTAAGATAAAATTAAACAAGTACTCTAATCTTAGTGTCAGAAAGTAGAACCCGAATTCATTGAGCATCAAATGCTCAATTAGATTAAAAATACCTTAAATTCAATTAAAATACTTTTAAATGACTTAATCTTCCAACAATTTCGCGTTTCGTTATTAAAACCATTCTCAAATGTTCTAAAAAAATGCAATCTTACATAATCATTTCTCTCTTATATATCATCATTTATAACAAATTATATTTCATGTCATATTTTTATTCCTTTTACTTCAATTGATTCTTTCATATAACAATTAACTCATCATATATGGATGGGAAGCATATGCCTAACTAGAGCTCTCACGAGGATCAAGCACAGACAAAACTGTTACTAAAAATGGTAACTCTAACACGAGGATCAAACTCCTCGTCTCGCAACGGTCATCTCAACTCCAAGCTATCCCTGACTTGCTCCCATACCACGTATGATCATCGTAGTCCCACCACATGGAAACAAAAAGGTACTGAATCAATCATACAAGTACTGAATAAAATCTATACTCTACATGCATCCAAATCAAGTCCCAAAGGAACTTCCATCTATCTTAATCAATCATCCATTCATCAAACATGAAGTCAAACACCATACACTTCATTATCATAACAATCATGCAATACATGCAACTCATAACAGATATCAATGCATATCAATCATCTAATGCGTCGTCACACATACACCTAGGATATCTCCCTAACAATAAAGCAGTGTAAGTGACATCCCAATCCTACCGAAACCACCCCAACCGTTTTCACGCCCAATGCGCCCGCTCGGTCACAACTAAACAAGATAAAAATCCTCACTCGGGTTTACTCGGATGATATCACTTACACAATTGGAAGTCTAGATCCACCGTCAGGTATAGCACAGCTGGGTACAAGCTTACCACGACCTTGACATGCATTACCAATTCACTTGTGGAGTTCGCTCACCGACTATCCGCAAGGATCCACGCACCTTCTCAAGTACTTGGTTAAGGGAATAACCCTTGACCTCATTCTTCGCTCCAACACTAGCTAAGGATTTAGAGGAGACTCACCCAACCCAGTGGCCTACTTGAGCACCACTCTCACCCAAATCCAGTGGCCTACCTGAACACCACTCTCATATATCAGTGGCCTATCCAAGCACCACTCTCAAGAGACTCTATGTGAGCTCTTCCAGTTCAAAAATATTTTTCCTCTCCTCAAGTCCTAGGCTAGACTCATGCCATAAGGCATCACATGCAATTATGCATCACACATCATACATGGTCTGCCCACCATCATGATCAACAATGATACACATGCCATAAAACATCACATGCAATAATGCATCATACATCATACATGGTCTACCCACCATCATGATGAATAACCATACTCATGCCATAAGACATCACATGCAATAATGCATCATACATCATACATGGTCTACCCACCATCATGATCAATAATCATACTCATATGAACATATACTCATGCCATATCATATTTAAACATTTATATATATCATTACCAAGCATACATATGAATCACACCTCACCATAAATCATATATCATATATACATGATCCAAAACTTCAACTTAACATGCATTAGTATCATTTCATTCATAAACATGTTCACGCCCGGTGCAGCCTGAGCGCGCCCAGCCTAATCCCAGCTCGAGAGTCCTAAAACTCATCCATGCCCGGCACGTTCAACTCGCACTCGACATCCTTAAGACAGAGACTCCTAAAAGTCTCCACGCCTAGTGCAACCAAATCACACCTGACCTAACATCCAACCCGAGAGCCCTAAGTTCTTCCACGCCCAGCGTGCTAAACCTGCACCCGGCCTAATCCCAGTCAGAGAGTTCAAAACCTCATCCGAACCAACAAATCCAGCCACATGCAAATACAAAAACACAAAGCCCAAGTTCCATACAACACAAAACAAACTCAAAATCAACATGCACCCATCCAATGCATCAAAATCACCAAAAACTCCATTTTTCCCAAAACCCCAAAGAAATGAGCGAATTCTCCGATCCAGCCATGGATCCTCGACTTTCATGCATCAATTGAGTTTCTAAACTCACATGCAACCTAAACAACAAACATTCTAGCTTCCCTTACCTGAAAATTGGCTCAAAATGGCCAAGAACTGAAGAGAAGTAGAATTTCCTTCCGAAGCTCAACCTGGAACTTCAATCCACCCAAAGCAAGCTTTCTAGTCTGAATTTCAAGAAAAGACATAAGACATTAGTGATCTAGAGGAGAAGAAGAATCATATAGAGAAATTTGGGAAAGAAAGGAGCTCATAGACCTAGAGTCATTCTCTCTAAAACTTCTCTCTAAAACTTCTCTCTAAAACCTCTCTCTAAGTTCCCTTCCTCTCTTCTCCTCAACCACGTGCATGATGCCTATTTATAGAAATTTGGAGTGGCCAGAATGACGCGTTTCGAATCCGGAACGGCCCGTTCTGGACTCAAACGTCATGTGTAAAATTCACATGCAGAACGACCCGTTCTAGGGTTGCCTTTTACTCATAACGACCCTGTTTGGAACGGCCTGTTCCCAACAAGGATTTATAGGCCTATTTAGTGGTTTGGAACGGCTCGTTCCAGTTTGGGAATGACCTATTTTGGGCTACTAAATCACCCTTGTTTTAGTAGTTTGGAACGGCCCGTTCCAATTTGAGAACAGACCGTTCTGGGCTACTAACTACGTTACAGGTAGGCCGGGCCAGGTCGACCCACTTAAAAAGTGGATTGGGTGGGCCAGGCCAAATGGGCCAGACTAGCTTGTTTTGACAGCTCCATGCCTAGCATTGAACCTTCATATTTTTTAGCCTTAACCACATCCAATTAGAATACATAGAATGTTCTAATTTTTTTTTCTTTTTTTTATTTATAAAAAACATGACTTGACACTAAAAATAAAGTTATCATATTATATAATGACATTATTTGTCACTAAAAGTTATTTTTATCTACTATAGATACATTATATATATTAGTATATTGTTAAAAAAGTATAAATATAAGTTATAGTAACACATAATAGATATTGTGGAACTTCTTTTAAAATTAACATTAAAATTATATGTATTTATATATCAAATAAATTTATGTTTATGTATTTATATTTATAATAATATTTTTTATATGTCATTATATATAATATTTATCGTAATAAAAAATTATTGATAGCGTTAAGTGTAAACATATCAAAGGAAAACTAAAATGATATGAACGATTCTATTAACTAAAGACTTCCTAAAGCTTTGTTTCTATTGCAGCAAGACAAAATGAAGAATTAAAAGAAGAAATACTATTGTAACACAAAAAGAAGAAATATTGACACAAAGTACTAACAAATCTCTAAAAAATAAATTGTTATATGTAGGAATAACTTAAAAACTTTATTAAGGAAGTTTGCACATAGATTTTTACTTACATCTTATCTCTACATAATTCATATACATTTTTACCAAGGTTTTATAATCCTTTAATGTTCCGTTATTTTTTTTTAAATAATCTCACAATAATTTCTTTTTTTTTTCTTAGAGAATCAAGGCGATGATAAAAATATATTTGTTGTGATAAGTTAACGATAAATATCTACCTAGTTATTATATTTAGTTAAGGTTATTGAGGTTTTTTACATTACAAATATATTATAATGAATAATGAATGTGTCATAACTTTTTATCATTTATTTTTTACTATATCTCAATACTATATATGTTACCAAAAACTTTATAATGTTAAAGTTAAATGTATTGTTATTTATTAGCACTTTTAGTGATTAATATATATTTTTTAATATCTTATCATTTATTTCCTTATTATTCTTTCAATTAAGGTTGTGATGGCTTTGGCATGCAAGGGATATCATGTCTTAGGTGGTCTACATACAAGAATTAATACAACGCACATATTAAAGACAAGCAAGATGGTATTTTATTTTAAATATTCTAATTATTATGCAATTTTCCCTGCTTTAACTTTTAAGTTATATTTGTTCTTCTCAAGTATTCATAGTTTTTCTGAATAGGTTGAAGAATGCTCTGGTATGCATTTGCAACCACACAAAGCTCTTGTGGGAGCTAATGCATTTGTTCATGCAAGTGGTATTCATCAGGTTGGTATTAAATACACGTGTTCCTATATAATAGTGAAAAAGGCACTGTAATGCTTTCCATTATATTCTTGAGTCTAGAGATTATAAATTTAATGCTAGTAATTCACTTATACTAGCACACTGCATCTTTTTCTTCTATAATTTGTTTACCGAAGTCACTAATACATTTCTTTTAAACAAAAAGTAACTAATGAAATGGAACAAATCTTAACTTATGTCTGACTGACTTTACCTATTTTAAGCTCAATAGCTACTTAAAAGTTTAAGTTAAAATGATAACTTTAAAAAGAAAATATAAATTTTTTGGCAAACTATTTTTTTTTTTTTAAAAAAACTTATAAGCTCTTTTTAAGCTAAACTTTTGTTAAAAAAAATAATTATCCCACTCAATGGAAAAATATATTCAAAACAATAAATAATATTATGTTAAATTATTTTAATCAACATAATTTTTTCATTTGATAGCAAAAATATATAAAAGTACTTACATGCATTTTCTAATTTGGAATGGTCGTTCTCTTTTTGGAACGGCCGTTCTTACCCTATTTTTTACATGCATTTTCTAATTTGGAACGACTATACTCTTCATGAGAACGACCATCCTCAATGACCTTGACCATGAGTTTGCGCATTCTTATGAAGAGTATGCCTATTTTCACGGGTCTCAGGCTTGGTTTATTGCTTCTAGGCTTGGTTCTTGGTTGTTTGACCCTTGGAATGTCTCTTGGAGGCCTCTCGATCCTTCATGAAGTGTTCTAGAGTCTTCCAACTCCTCTAAGGGTTACTTCTCTTGCTTTAGAAGCTTCCCATCTTTGAATTCTCCACCCAAAATCTTCCAAATCTTATGAGAGTTACTTCTCTCACTTCAGAAGCTTCTCACCTTTGAATTCTCAACCCAAAGTCTTCTAGATCCTCCGAGGGTCACTTCTCTAGCTTAAGAAGCTTCTTGTCTTCGGATTCCCTCTAAGGGTCACTTCCCTCACTTTAGAAGCTTCTCGTCTTCAAATCCTCAACCCGGACAAAAATTGGTGTCTACAGTACTTTCCTTCCAAGATGAAGCGAGCTTGCGTGCCATGGGGTTAAGGCTTTTGAAAGCTTGTGAAAGGTTGAGGAAGATGATGAACAATAGAGAGTGAACTGATTCGAGAAGGAGGATTTGTAAGAATGAAAACCATTTTCAAAAACTTGAAAATGTGGGAAAGAGAGACTAGGTAGCGTGACAGTTGTGGTAGCTGTGCAACCTGATGTGGTGTAATGCGATGTGTAACTGTCCCTTCACGTCTCCATGCATTACTTTTCCTTCCTTCAAGGTGCACATGATTGATAGAATTTAAAGATCTTTAATGCACCTATTATCTTTCTCAGAGTCATAATGAAGTGTCAATCATAATATACAGATTAATGAAATATTTACTAATCTATTAATAGATGCAATATCTACTTCAGATGAAATCATGATAGACAAAGTGAGTGCTTAAAAAATTTGTCACATCCTACATGGTCAGATTTGTCTTTCGAAGACTTTTCAAATGGATATAGGCATATATTTGTAATTTCTTCTTCAGAACTTCTCAAGAAATTCTTTTGTGTTATACCTTTACCTTTTTGCTTGATATGCTTTTACCTATACCTTTTATTATACCTATTAGACACAAATCCTTCAAGTGGTTGGAGGTTTAGGAATATAGACCTTTCTTCCGTTATGTGTCGTGAGCAACCATTGTCCAAGTACCAGATTGAATCCTTCCTTCTTCCTTCTAAGAAGATTTGTAATGGGAATGATTTTTGATTTTGGTAACCAGATTTTCTTTGGTCCTTTCAAGTTAGTCCCATTAGCCTTAATATGTCCCATTAGCCTTAATATGTCCCATTAGCCTTCCAATAGAGGCAGTCTTCTCCATTGAAGGCTAGAGGCCTTGTGAGAGAAGCTCCTTCCGGCAAGTACTGTCCTTAACTACTTCCCATTTTGAATCATTTTCCTTTAACACTGTTAGATGCTCAACCTTGTTAAAGGATGAGCTTTGATACCAATTGTTGGAGAAAAAGATATGCATTAGAATGGGGGTTGAATAGTGTATATCAAAAACTCATGCTTTTAATATGTAGTGAAGTAGTAGAAGTTGTGACAGACAAAGTATTGGAATGCAATCAGGTGAAGGGATGTAGATATTTTATACTAGTTCATCTTAAACACAGAGACTACGTCCAGTTCTCAATCCAACTAAATTGAGTTTCACTGTCTTTTTCAAGATACAAATATTCTTTCACAAGCCACTTCTGGCTCAGACGACCTAAATAGTCTTTGACTTGCCTTTTCAAGCAACTACCCAAGTATTCTTTCAACAAGCCTCTTGAGACTCAGACCCAAGTATTCTTTCTACAAGCCTCTCTAGGCTAAACACCAAGTATTCTTTTTACAAGCCTCTCTAGGCTCAATACGAAGTATTCTTTCAACAAGCCTCTCCAAGCTCAACACCAAGTATTCTTTCAACAAGCCTCTCTAGCCTCAACACCAAGTATTCTTTCAATAAGTCCCTCCAGGCTCAACACCAAGTATTCTTTTGATCAAGCCTCTTCAGGCTCAACCCTTACAAATAAATTTGACAAGAATTACAAGGATAGCTTCATCTCTTTTAGACATGATGCTATGAAAATACAACACAAATGAACTACAAATAACTATGTACAAGATTTATGATGAAAAACTTCTTTATAATGCTTCAACTTTATTCTCAAAGTGTTTGATTAGTGTAAATTGCTCAGTGAATATTGATCTTTTATGTATAATTTTTTTCTTCGTATGTGTATTATGTGTTCTCTGCTTGGTGTTTGAAGCCTTGATCCTTATATAGTAACTTTAGAGAAGATGACCATTACAACAATGTTGAGTTTGAACGTTTAAATTTCTTCATAAGTTGCTTCGTCTATCTTCTTTGTTGATCTAAGAGATTACCATTGATACATTTAATGCAAGCATTAAATTCCTTTTAGTGATATTTGAGATTTTTCTCTTTCTATCCTGATACAAGGATTTGACATTTCCTTTATGCAAGCTTTCGTTGTTTCTGAGGAAGCTTCTTCATTCGATTTGTTAAGGAATAAAGTATTAAAGCTTCTTAAAGAATAAGCTAAATTTTTAACGAGAAATAGATGTATCATCAATACAAATTGTATATTTCGTCTGATGTACTTCGTCTTACAGACGAAATATGATATCTGCTTCATGTGAAATAATCTTTTGAAAAGTTTTGTTTGCTATCATAAAAACTCATAAATTCTTGATCATAAAGACTCATAGCTTCTTGAGGGATTCAAGATTGTCTTTTGATTTTACAAAGGTGTGAGGGAGAAAAAAAAGACAATAGAGAAAATGGTGAAAAAGGATCTCATGGTAAATAATAGTAGTGAAATGTTGATTTTTAACTAAGTGAATTACATTGTATAAGGCTTTGATCTCATTGGGTGGAATAAGACTTGGTAATTGTTGTTGTTTCTATCCTATTAAACACAAAAATGTAAATTTTATATTTTATATTAGCAATGCAATTAAAGTTAAGACAATTTAATAAACAAATTAAATATTAATTTTTTAAGTTCATTTAAACACCTTGTAAGAATCAAAATCAAATTCATTTTATAATTTCATTGTGATTCCTTTTACATAATTGAAGTTATCCACATGATCAAAATATAGTTTAATTTTTTTTCTTTCTTTCTTTTATGCATGTTATTTTTCTAGCCAACTTACTTGTAAGTCTATATGAAACTACTCCTTTTGTTTTATCCTTGCTTGTTTATAATTTTATTTTATTTTCTACTTTGTAGGATGGGATGCTAAAACATAAAAGTACATATGAAATAATATCTCCAGCTGATATTGGTCTTAAAAGATCCACAGAAGTTGGTATTGTGTTGGGGAGGCTTAGGTATGTAATTTTCATTTTCTCAAAATTTGCTAACACGTTTTATCTTATGTTAGAAACCTAATTAGGTGAAAAAAATTTCAAAAAGTAAAAGAGAAATAAAATAGAGAAAGAATTTAGATTATTTCTTTAAACTAATGATTTTGTTATTCTCATAATTGAACAATATGATGCTAAATATTTACAAAGTTCCAAAGTTAGTTTCTTTTTAGTTATGGTAAGGATAGATTGAAATTTGTCATATTATATTTTAACAAAGTTTACTTATATATCAACACTAATCATTTGCAACTTTATAAAGAATATAATTGTAAATCATGTACTATAAATAACTACTAGCATAGGATATACCAAAATTGCTCATATTATCAAGTATGTTGTAGATGAATAAGATAAATTTTGTCAAACATTTTGATTTAAGCAATAATATTAGTGGATTATGTAGGTGAAAAAGCTTTATTGAGGATATCAACATATTGAGAAATAACTTGAACATGAACCACAAGAAGACTTTTGGTCAAAACTTTTTGTCTTTTAGAAAAATATGCTAGGATCTATATGTTGGTCTTAACATGTAGGATATGACCAATGGATATAGAGATTAACTTATATTTTCATATAGTCGATTATTAGAATTTGGAAAATCATTTTAACCTCAATAAGAAATTATTGTATCCAACAAACTTCAACTGTACCATTCGCTAGGCTTTTGATATTCAACCTCAATGCTAGGTTTGACCATTATAATTTTAAGAATACTAAGATATAAGACAAAGATAAATGGATATAAATAATTCCATTGAAGGATTTTGTTATAAGGCTTCAGTGCCCAATTTATATCCAAATGCAATAAAAGAAAGAAGTTTTGTAGAGAAGAGTTGACTGCAATAGTAGGACAAAACTAATTCCCCTTTGTAAGAAAACAAAGAAATTAAAATGAGGTTGAATAATGTGAATCAAAAACTCAACACTTTTGAAATAATAAAGTATTAACATGACTGTAATAGTTTAGATGAAGAGGGAGGTACAAAGAACACACGATATTTTTATACCGATTCGCCTCAACCTATGAGACTACATTCAGTTCTTGATCAACTTGATCAAGTTCCACTATCTTTCACCAAAATAAAAATATTCTATCATAAGTCACTTTTAGTTCAACCTAAGTATTCTTTGACTAGTCTCTTAAAGCAATTACACAAGTGTTCTTTGAACAATGAAGCCTCTCCAGGGTTTAATAATCAAATATTCTATACAATAAAGCCTCTTCAAGCTTCAACATCCAAGTATTCTTTGAAACAAAGCCTCTTTAGGATTCAAATAATAACAAAAAGTTAAAATTGGGAAACCACTTGTTGTTTTGTCTTACTTTTAAGACATGATACAACCAAATTAAGTATAAGAGATTTTACAAAAAGAATGAATTGAAATTTTTTACAATGGTAGATATTTTTCTTTCTGAGTCTTCAAGCTTCTTTATATAGGTGCTTCTTGAAGATGATTATTGCAAATCCTTAAGCTTCTCTCACAATCATGCTTTGCTTATCTTCGTCTTCCTTCCTTATGAAGAGAAGTGTCTGTTCGTGCCTTAAATGCGTTTCACCAAATTGTCACTTCTTATTTGACCAAAGGGGTTACTTGTGGAGAAAAGATAAACACTAGAAGGGGCATGAACATTGTGTATCAAAAACTCATATTTTTCACAATGAAATAGTAATGATACTCAAATGAAGTGTGAAGAGCAATTAGATGAAACACTGGATATTTTTATATTGGTTAATCTCAATCACTAAGACTACGTTCAGTTCTCAATCCAACTTGATTGAGTTCCATTGTCTTTAAACAAAGATACAACTATTCTTTCAACATGTCATTTCTAGCTCAATCCTAAGTATTCTTTGACTTCCCTCTTTAAGCAACTACCTAAATATTCTTTTCACAAGCCTTTTCAGGCTTAACAACTAAGTATTCTTTTATAATCAAGCCTCTCCTAGCTCAAAACAAATATTCTTTACAAGCCTCTATAGGCTTAAAACAAGTATTCTTTTATAGACAAGTCTATCTAGACTTAACCTTATAACAATGGTTATAAAGGTTTTAGAGATCTTGTGTTCATCTCACTTAGACGTTATACAACTCATATAGAGTAATAAACTTTTACAAGAAAGAATGAAATTTATACACAAGTATGGTTTACAAAGAGTGTTCCTTTGTGTATGTTTTTGTTCAAGTCTCTTTTGTATGTAACACACTTTTTTTCTTGAGCTTTGAATCTTTTTATATAGTAATTTGGAGAAGATGGCTGTTGCAACACTTTGAGTCCAACTCATAAGTTTGCTTCACCTATCTTCATTGTCTTTCCTTGTAATGGTAGGTAACCGTTTCACTCATTTAATGCAAGCATTAAATGCATTTCACCAAATAGTACCTTTTAACTGATCAAGGAGGCTACTTATCAGCTTTTCATATCAAACAAAGCTTATAGAAGCAATGTCATTGTAGAGTAGCTATAATAGTGTCTTAAGCAAACAATTTGACATCATAAATGATATATATTTAATGCATTTTTTTTAAGAAAACAATTTGATTCATTTGAGAGATTACACATCATTATAACTAATCGTCTATTTGAATTCATTTAACTCTATGATCTAAAAAATATTTCTTTAACAAAAAGTCTAAATTTGTTAGTAGTAAAACCTATGTTGCGAGGGGTCAAAGATCGTCTTTTGATGTAAGAATGTATACAAGTATCCTTTTAATAATCTTCTAATGTTGTTCAAGGGATTATAATTAACAAATTTTACCATCTCAAAAGTTTAGTTTTAGTCTTTTGATCTTGGCATAGTATAATGTAAAGAAATTTAAAAGGCCTGATCTTGGTATATTGTAGTGTAAGGAAATTTAAAAGGCATTATTTATGGATAACAAGTTGTATAAGCCATTGTCTAGAAAAGGTAAAACTTAAGATTTTTCTCATTATAACAAGTTGTTGACGGATTGACAAGCATATTGAATCAAGCATAATATTTTTGAAATAAGATGTCTCCCAAGGGAACTCTTGCAATATATGATGATTATGACACAATGCACTATACTAGAATTCAAAAGAATGAAATAGTAGTTGTTTGAAGTTGATTTTTTCATACAAGAACTTGAAAGCAATAAAGTAAGAAATAGAAATAAATTTATGTTTTAGGGTTCTTGTCAAACACGTGTGAAAACGGATATGAAAAATCCAATGGAAAAAATCATTAGGATTGGATTTTACTAGTTCACCATCATGTATTAGTTCATAAAAGGTTTTCCTCTTTGTTTTATCTTATCATTATCATTACCACAAAAAATCTTCAAGCCTTAATCCCTTAGGATCTTGAAACCTTGTATTTCATTCAAATCTCAAATCCCTTGGTTGTAATGGTTGAAATACAAACATTAAAAATAGACATAGTTCATAAATGACCATTGAAACTCATGTTCATTCCTAAACATGACTTTCAACTAGTGTTTTAACCCATTCATAACTCAAAATTTTTTTCCAACAACCCAAGAAAATAAATCAACTCAGAATACAATAAATTAAAAGAGCATTATGGAAATAGTTAAACACTAATAAATGGAATAAAACATAGATTAATGAGGCAAATTATTAATAGATGAGGTTTAGGTAGTTACAACCAATCCTAATGAGTGGGAGTTAGCTACACATAGCCATTGAAACTATTCAAAATGGTGAAGAAATGATTAAGGTAGTGAAATTGTGCTCTCCTAGGGTGTTCCCAACCTTTAGGGGTCTTGTCCACAGTGTATTGAATGATTACCCTCGAATTCCCAAGTCTACCCTAATAGAGAACATTCTTTTTGTCTTAGGTGTCCAAGTGTCAAGTAATTTTCTCTCGATGACAACGGGGGCTTGCTAAGTGAGAATGACATGTGTGCTTTTACTCAGCGACTAGGTTGGCTCGTTGAGCGAGTTTATAGCTTCTGGAGCTTTCTCGCTCAATGGATGAATGCCTTACTAAGCAATCATGTGGCTATGTGATAGTTCTCATCTCTCTTGATCAACAACTAGATTGTCTCATTGAGCAATGCTCTATGTGTGCTACTTCTTTTCTCCTATTTAATCCTCTAGTCTTAAAGTCTTCAACCTTCTTGAACCTATAATGAAAGGGTTCAAAAAGTGAAATTTGCTCCAAAATTCTAACGAATTAAGTAAGAATTGCAAAATAAATTAAATAAGGTTAAAATGAGGTAAAATCTACAAAAAAAAAAAATAAATAAAGGAAAATGAAGATAATTGTTATGATTTACACACTTAAAGCTAAGTAAATCACCCAATTATCACAAGTTTCACTAGAAGTTAAAAGTGTTTACATAATCATATTAGAGTATAGGATTTTAGTTTTGCATATTGCATTTGTTTTTTTACTATACTTGTTTGTATAGTTAGTAAATCAATTATAGGTTTATTTCTCTTTGTTATTAGTCATTATTGTCTATTAGTGACTAGTTTTTCTTGTACGCTAGTGGAGTCTAACTTGTTGTATACTCATTGGCATCTTATTGTAACTTAATATGTATATAGAGCTTGGATTGATCCTTGGTTTATAAGTTCTACTTTTCCTTCACCTCTATCCCTTCCACCTCCATCAACAATGTCACCAAACACAAACACATTTCCTCACTCTATGAAAGTCTTGATACAAAGAACTACGTGCTATGTCACCAAACACAAACACCTTTATCAATAGTGTCACCAAATTACATCATTTTCTCGTAAATCCCCAAATTCCTGAAAAATACACATCTCTTGAAGATCATGATTATAACCTAAGCATTGTTCCTTTGGCCCACAATCTTATTTTACATGCCAAGCCTAATCATATGGAGTTAGATTTATTTTTTGATACAAAAAAAGTGTTGGGAAAAAAGATACACACTAGAAAGGGGTTGAATAATGTATATAAAAAACTCAGTTTCGAAAATAGTGAAGTAGTAAGACT